CACAGGCAGGCAGGTTTTTTACCACTAGCGCCACCTGGGAAGCCCCTTAACGATACATGTCCCCAAAGTTCATAGTTGTGTGATCTATTTAGTCCACATATGATAAAGTAGTCTCTGCTCCCATAAACCCTACAGCATTCATGCACTCCCAGGGCACCTAACTTGGGGAGTGGAATGCAAGTTTACTTCCTCAGCTGGACATCTTGTTCAGGACACAACCTGCACAACTGTTCACAGCACCCCTGTCCATCATTTTGGAGATAGTTTAGGTAACTTTTGATATCTTTCTGCTTCCTCTACTTTTAATCATATCAATAATTATTTTCAACCACTCCTTCTAAGGATACTTTAACTTTATTTTCATGCTTACGGTACATATTTAACAAATCCCCAGAAGCTTTACCCAAGGTATCAGATTTATTTCTTTAAAGCGTCTAAGTTCCACTTTACTGTTTAAAAATGGATTTTTACAGAACTTGGTACACCATAGAGAATTATTTAATCAAATTACATAGCATATAGAGGGCTTATGCCAAATTACTAAGGCCTGCCCAGACAGAATGAAAAGAGGCAAGAGCTATAACACAAGTGTATTCAGCTCCGTTGTACTTTGTTTTCAAAGCTAATATATTGCACTTTGTTTTTAAAGCTAATATATTGCCATTTGTTTTTAAACCTAATATAAATAAATAAAAGGATTGGGAAATCGCTAATACTAATTAATACATCCAACATATTTAAAACACATTTGTAGGTATTCTCTCCCCCATTCTTTTCTAGAGCCCATGGCTTGCAAGGCTAAGATAATTCAAAAGGATGCTCCTAACATATCTCAAGTCTGGGGAGAAGGCAGATACTCTTCAGAATGATAAAATACAGGAGATATGCCAACAGCACGGATTGCTGATGTATTTTAGACAATCCACCTGGAGACCAGATGACCACAATGGTCTTTTTCCATCCAACCAGCAGGATGTGAGACTCCCTCCACCCTCTCTCCAACAACGAACAAAAGAGAGAAATTCACTGCTAAAGACTGATCCATAGATTGACAATGCACACCCAAGGCCATGACCAAAAGTAACCATTTTAGGGAGACTATGAGGAATAAAAAAACTGGGAGTGGGGAGTAGGAGATGGCAAGGAAGCATTCCAAAGGGAACCTAACTGCTCATGCACTGAGTAGTTATTATAAACTGGGGTCAAGCATGGCAGATACACTGAGAAGACAAACATGATTGTCCATAAAGGTCCCTAAAAACGCTATGGCCTACTGAGACTGGGATTGACATAAATACAGCACTGTGTATAAAACAGATAACTAACGAGAACCTATTTATGGCACGGAGAACACTCAGTGCTCTGTGGTGATCTAAATGGGAAGGAAATTAAAAAACAGGGGGATATCTGCATATGTATGGCTGATTCACTTTAATGTACAGCAGAAAACTAACACAACATTGTAAAGTAACTATACCCCAATAAAAATTAAAAAAAAAAAAAAAACACCTCTATGGCTGACTACTCCTAAATGGTACAGGCATGAACCTGGGTAGGCTCACCCCTCCCACCCTTTTGACTGCAAACAGATTGATTCTGTCACTAGAACAGAAGTTAAGAATTGATTGAAGGAGGTTTTTCAGCTAAACAAAGTAGACATAACACATGTTTATCTCCACCTCTTCCCTGATTCCCACAGAAGGACACTAAGAGAATTAGAAAGAGAGTCAGAGAAGAGATGACAGACTAGAGATGTCAACCAAATTTGGGAAAATTGAAAACAGTTGAATAAACGGTGCTGCCTTCACTGAGCTCTGAGAGCAAAAATCTGACCGCCTGCAGAGGAAATGAAACTGGTTAAAAAAGAAAAAATTGGTTCCCAGTAAAGGAGCCTGGAAAGTTTCAGAAATCAAGGCACAGACACCTTCAAAGGGAAAGAATAGGGTGGGCTTGGCAGCGCAGGGCAGAACGGAGAGCTGGTTGAAGCCCTAATAAGGAGGCGCTGGGCCCCCAGATTCTAAGTGCAGGCTGGAAAGCCATGGGAATGACCCTGCCTCTCTTTGTGGAAGACAGGAGACTTATTCTCCGGAAGGGCTGGACCAGAGAAACGCTGGATGAGAGCAGAGAAGTGAGCTCAGTAAGGCCCTCCTTCCCCCTCCCCACCCCCACGCGGTTCCGACACGTGGGTTTCAGGAGGGCGCCTGTAAGGGAAAAGCATGGAACTGACAGATGAGTTGGTGTGTTTGACCCCTGTAAGAGGATTGTTTTGGCTTTTTAGATGGCACTAGTAGTAAAGAACCTGCATGCCAATGCAGGAGATGTAAGAGAAGCAGCAGGTTCAATCCCTGGGTTGGGAAAATCCCCTGGAGAAGGGCATGGCAACCCACTCCAGTATTCTTGCCTGGAGAATCCCATGGACAGAGGAGCCTGGTGGGCTACAGTCCATGGGGTCACAAAGAGTCAGATATGCCTGAAGTGACTTAACACACATGCACAAGAGGATTGTTCGGGTTCTTTTAGAATGTTTGGGGCTGAATCAATGATAAGTAACTGCTATGAAACTAGGTAAATAAAAAGTAAACAATTATTTTAAATCATATAATAAGGGAAATATAATCATAATACAATACACGGTATAGCTATGAACAATATTTGCATAATCAAAACAATGACAATACAAAATATCAATTTGACCAAAACACTATATAAATTAGGAAGATGGGGAAGGGGTATATGGTGGTTTAGGGGAAAAACAGAGGTGCAATGTTTGTGGAACATATAGTAAGTTAACCTTAAAAGTGCATCCCAGGGATTTCGCTAGTGGTCCAGTGGTTAAGAATCTGTCTTGCAGGGGACACTGGTTCAATCCCTGGTTAGGGAACTAAGATCCTACATGCCGTGGAGAAACTAAGTCCATGTGCCTCACGAAAGATCCTATGTGCTGCAACCAAGATTCAACCCACCCAAATAAATATTAAATATATATATAATGCATTTCAATACACATTAGGTACAGACAAATACCATTCGATTCCATTTATATGAAGTACTGAGAATAGTCAAATTCATAGAGTCACAAAGTATTGGGTTGGCCGAAAAATTCATTCCAATGAAAAACCCAAACAAACTTTTCAGCCAACCCAATACATGGGTATCAACAGATGCCAGGGGCCAGGGGATTGGAGTCATAACAGTATTTCAATAGTAGGAAGTCAATAAATTGCTTCTAAAATTTTAAAAATTATAGCTAGTAATATATATACATTATGTAGAAACAGCAATGTTTAAAAAGAGAGAAAGAGAAGAAAAGGCTAAACGGTTTAAAAGCATGCATTCTGAGTGGTGGCGATGGGGAGCAAAAAGTAGGGTGCAGGCAGGCTGGGGAGAAGGAGTGCTTCCTTTCTTGTAAGTCGTGGGGTATTATTGACTTCTAAAATTGTGTGCACATATCACTTCAGTAAGAATCAAGCTACATTTTTAAAAGAAATTCATTGAACATTCTTTAGACTTAGGTGTGCGTGTGCTCCGGATGGAGAGGGGATTAGACCACCTCTTTGCTCCCCTAATCACCAGCAGATGTGTGGATTTCTTCAGAGTCTGACAGAGGGGTTTTAAGAGACCACAACACAGAGACGGCCTCACAGCTGACAAGTCAGACTGACCTGCTTTATTGGCGGCTCCGTCCTTCCTTCCAGCTGAAAGGCCATGGTTGTCTGGCCTGATGGAAGTGTGGTGCAGTACCTGCTGTGCCCATTTCAACTCCATAAAACTTAGCCAAGAGGTTCCTGCCTTGGCAGCTCAACAGTGGTTTTCAGGGTAAAATATCCCCAGAATGAATGGTAATGCTGCTTGGAGGGGAAAAGGGTCTATGTAGAAGCAACAATGATATCCGCATTAGAGCTACTGGAAGGACACCCAGTGGGGCAATGGATGTGTCAGCTGAGGACTGGGATTACACCTTATTTTGCAACACAGAAGTCACTTCCCATTCAGGCCTCCCAGAGGAGATGCTAGGGGAGATGGTGTAAAAACGAGTGTACAGCTTCATTGTGTGGTACATTTAGAGGAATGGCAAATTTATGGACAAAACGGAGCTGTTCTTGCTCAAGTGCTAGTACAGTAACTAGGCAGGCTTTGGGGGTGCTTAATGAATGTGTACATGGGATAGGTTGTCATCCTTTAGGTTTCACCCATGTATATCTTTATTTTAAAGCAGGTTTCCTTTAGATAACACATAGTTTTTTTTTTTAATTCAATGTGATAATCTCTGACTTTTAATTGGAGTGTTTAAACCATTACATTTAATTAATCATCAATATGGTTGCGTTTATAGCTACCATCTTGATATCTGTTTTCTATTTCTCCATCTGTCCTGTTTCCCCTTTTCCATCATAAGATATTTTAAGATGTTTAAGGTGTACTTATGTGATGATTTGATATACATATATATTGTGAAAGGATCCCTCCACTGAGTTAATTAACACATCTATCCTTCACCTCACATATTTATCCTTTTTATGAGAACATTTAGGTTCTATTTTCTTAGCAAATTTCATTTATACAATGCAGTGTTATCACTTATAGTGATTGGGACATATATACATTAAATCCTCAAACCTTATTCATCTTATAAATGAAAGTTTATACCCTTTTACAAACCTCTCCCTATTCCTCCCAAACCTCTGCAACCACATTTCTGCTCTATTTCCATGAGTTAAACTTTTTTCCAGAGTCCAGATACAAGTAATGCCATGAAGTATTTGTCTTTCTCTGTCTAATTTCACTCAGCAAAATGCCCTCTAAGTTCATCCATGTTGTCACAAATGAAAGAATTTTCTTTTTTAAATAAATAATAGGCGCATGCGCAACCTGGTCCCCCAAACATGGAGTCTTGTAGCCCAGGTCTTAACTAAATCAGCTAGGAGACGGGCAGGGAAGAAATGTCCCTCCACCTTTACCCTCCCAGCCCACCCAATGAATGGGAATGGGCACACTCGGGGATGCGGGAGTGGTGGGTCCAGGTGAGGTTGTTGGCGGTGCCCCTGCTTGCAGCCTATCTGCACATCCTGCCCCAGCAGCCTTCCCCTACTCTTCACTCATGGAAGTCGTCAGGCAAATTTTTCACCTACAAGGGACTGTGCATCTTCTACCAAGACTCTGTGGGTGTGGTCGGAAGTCCGGAGATAGTCGTGCTTTTACATGGCTTTCCAACATCCAGCTATGACTGGTACAAGATTTGGGAGGGTCTGACCCTCAGGTTTCATCGAGTGATTGCCCTTGATTTCCTAGGCTTTGGCTTCAGTGACAAACTGAGGCCGCATCACTATTCCATATTCGAGCAGGCCAGCATCATGGAGGCGCTTCTGTGACATCTGGGGCTCCAGAGCCGTAGGATCAACCTGTTGTCTCACGACTACAGGGACACGGTGGCTCAGGAGCTGCTCTACAGATTCAAGCAGAATCGATCTGGTCGGCTTACAATCAAGAGTCTGTGTCTGTCAAATGGAGGTATATTTCCTGAGACTCACCATCCTCTCCTTCTACAAAAGCTTCTCAAAGATGGAGGCATGCTGTCACCCATCCTCACACGGTTGATGAACTTCTTCGTATTCTCTCGAGGTCTCACCCCTGTCTTTGGGCCATACACCCGACCTTCTGAGAGTGAGCTGTGGGACATGTGGGCAGGGATATGCAACAATGATGGGAACTTGGTTATCGACAGTCTCTTGCAGTACATCAATCAGGGGAAGACGTTTAGAAGACGCTGGGTGGGAGCCCTTGCCTCTGTATCTATTCCCATTCATTTTAGCTATGGGCCACTGGATCCGGTGAGCCCCTATCCCAAGTTTTTGGAGCTGTACAGGAAAACGCTGCTGCGGTCCACAGTGCCGATTCTGGATGACCACATTAGCCACTATCCACAGCTAGAGGATCCCATGGGCTTCTTGAATGCATATATGGGCTTCATCAACTCCTTCTGAGCTGGAAAGAGTAGGTCCCCTGTATTACCTCCCCTATTCCTTATCTGTTGTGTAATCCACTTAGGAAGAAATGCCCAAAAGAGGTCCTGGCAACTAGACACTATTCTCTCACTAAAGTCCACCTGACTCACACTGGTGAACAGCACATAGTAAAAAGCCAGCAGAAGCTGTAAGGTGACCTGATGGTCCACCTCCCATTCCTTTGACATCTGATCAAGTGTACGGACTTGCCTTTGTCTTTGTGTTACATAGGAAATGATGATGGGCACTACCACTCACTGATGCAGGAAGATAGATATTCTTTTGCATAAAAGTCTTTGAAACACTTCTGTGGACTTTTCTGAAGTATTTGGAAATGCTGATTTCTGGTCCTGTTTGGAATTATCTAAAGGTGCTGCCGTCACCTTGCCTTGAATGGCTTTGAGTCCTCTAAGAGACACAGCTTCAAATGAGAATGAGTTTCCCTTGTCATAACTTTGGATTTAGTTTCATTAGCTGCTTCTAGTTGTAGACATTCTGTTAAGACTTTGGTTTAAGTAATGCAGTATTCTAAGCATACTTCAAGACTATGATTTCCCTATACTTATCATATATATAAGATATTAAACCAGCAAAAAATAAATAAATAAATAATAGTTACATGTGTACACACACACACACACACACACACACACACTATGAATTCTTCTAATTCAAGAGCACAGAGTATCTTCCCAATTATTTGTCTTTCAAATTCTTTCAACAATATCTTATAATTCTCAGTGTAGATAATTAATAGTGTTTAAATGTCCATACAACCCAAAGTGTCCAAAATGTTCTATGCACTTGACTCAGTGCAACCACTATCCCAATGGCATTTTTCACAGAAAGAGAAAAAACAATCCTGAAACTTGTATGAACCCACAAAAGACCACAAATAGCCAATGTAATCTTTAGATTAGGAGGCATCATACCTCTTGATTTTAAACTATATTACAAAGCTATAATAATCAAAACCATATGGTATTGGGGGAAAAAAACAGACACACAGATCAATGAAACAGTATAGAGAGTCAGAAATAAACCCACACCTCTGTGATCAATTAATCTATGAAACAAGAGCCAAGAATATAGAATGGAGAAAGGGCAGTCTCTTCAATAAATTGTTCTGGGAAAACTGGATATCCACATGCAAAAGAATGAAACTGGACCTCTCTCTACCTTACACCATACACATAAATCAGCTCAAATGGATTTAAGACTTGAACGTAAGATCCAAAACAATAAAACTAGAAGAAAACAGGGGTAAGATCCTTGATATCAATCTTGGCAATGATTTTTTTTTTTTTGGACTTAATACCAAAAGCAAAGACAAAATATTTGGAAGCGTTCCCCACTGTCCCACCCTCACCAGGGCTGAGATTCAGACCTTGATGGAGAGGGTGTATGGGTGTGGCCCACTGGATGGTGAAGCAGTTCACTGAGGTGTCTCGGGCCAGGTCTGACAAGCAATAAATCATGTGCCAGGGTGTGGACTATACTTACTGAGGAGCTATTCTCTGGGATGCGAGTGGAACTTACTGAAAAGCTTCTGCAGGGAAATGCACTGGAAAGTTGCCCATCAGGGCACCAGCAAGGCTTGTTGGCACTCCTCCTGCTGGGTGCCTGGGAGACTTGCCAGAAGCTGGCTGCAGTGCTAGCAGAAATCACTGGAACCACCCACTGGGGTGGCCCTGAAACTTGCATGAGGATAAGCCCCATGGGGTTTGGCCAAAAGCCCCAGAAGCAAGAAGAGAGGCAGGAAGCAGGAAGCAGGAAATGAAAAGCATCTTTGTCCTCCAGCACCCCTCCAGCAACCTTCTGGGGCAAAGCTTGATACTATGCCAGCAGGTGGAGGAGCAATGTTTACATGGCTCACCCTGGTATGACAAAGCAGAGCAAAGGAGGGTGGGTAGGAACTGAGAGGCAATAAAGTGATAACTGGCACAATTCAGGAAAATTACTTAAATCACCATCATTCATTAATTGCTTAACACAATCATAGGATACATTTTTCCTACCCTTTCTGGGCTTCATACACTTTGAGTGCTTGCTCATATGACACTGATTTTGTGACACTGTTCTCTATCAACAGACTAGAGAAGTAACTCAGTATTTCTTCCAGCATGCTTGATGGAAATCTGGTTTTTTTTTTAGTGTTGATAGTTCAGAATAACTGCCTTCAACTTCAAAGCCTTTTGTAAATCCCCCTGAATCTGCCTGCCAATATAGGAGACGTGGGTTTGATCCCTGGGTCTAGAAGATCCCCTGGAGGAGGGCGTGGCAACCCACTCCAGTATTCTTGCTGGGAAATCCCATGGACAGAGGAGCCTGGCACGCTAGAGTTCATGGGGTCACAGAAGAGTCAGACACTAGTGACTAAACAACAAAAACCAGTTGCACTCCTGGTCTCTTCAATAGCTTGGAGTGAGGACCTGGGGTGTTACTGGTGTTGAGTGGGGGGCACGGGGAGTGGCTTCCTAGCAGAGAAGGAAGGAGGGACAGGACACACGTAGAGGATGGACATGCAGCTCAAGCATCGCAGTCTAGCAGAGGTAGGCTGGGGTGGCTGCTTTCTCCACTTAGTCCTGGAGGGGAACCTGCTGACCCCGAGAAGGGACCCCAACAACCTAGAGACTCTGAGACTTAAGCTTCATCAGCTTGAGCATCAGTCAACTTCTGTCACTACAGAATCACAAAACTGACTTCCTAGCTGTATTCGAAGGCTTTGGGGTGGTTTCTGAAATTCTGCTTTAGCCTCAAAGGGTGTGGACTTTATTCAAAAGACATTGCACTTAAGAAGAGTTTTAGAAACCCGGCAGCCTCTTGGGATAAATGCCCAGACCCCTCCCATAAGGGGTCATTTTAGAAGCAGCAACAGTCACAGAAACTCCAGCTGGTTATTTTTTTTAAAGACAGAATATGATGATTACTAAGTCATATCAAGTAGAGATATTTTTATCTTCTTTTATCAACTATATCACTTCTTTCAAACATGAAATGACTTTTGAGACAGAGATAGATGTGGTCAGAATCAATATTCCCCCCAAGATAAGCCTCCTTCAAAGAATAGTGCATCTCTTCCAGTTCTGCACAGATCTAACAGTCCTAGGTAGGGAGCAGGAGGGCAACTAATGATTTTCCAGTTTTGTCCCCTCCCCTCCCCCCCAAACATCAGACTATCTGTATTCTGAGCCACACTTTCTTGGATAGAAAACTAGAAAAATTTGACATGTAGTTAACTATATTCTTGCTTATGGTTTTTACCCCAGATTTCCTGAGTAGAAAAAAATAGAGGCGCTAGAAAGTTTAAGGCTATTTTTTCCAAAGGTTATTATTAGCATGGGCCAGAGGCAGGGAGGTGGATGAAGGGGGCATTTATCCCATAACAGGGCGGGCGGGGGTGGGGGCGGAATTGAGGCCCCAGAGAGGCGTACCTACTTCAGCCATGTCTGCCCTCCATCTGGTATTTTCAGATGCCAGCTATGCCAATCCTTAACATTCTCTGCCATTTTATTTATATTCATTTCTATCACAGGAGAAAGCTCAAACTATCACTCAATATCCAAAAGCAATCATTTTTTAATTATGTGGTTTTTTAAATGAACGGAACAAAAAGACAAATAGGAAATATTTGCAACATATCACCAACAATGAACTTCAATACCTAACACAACTAGACCCTAAAAATTCTACATACCAACATCATCCAAGTAGGAATAGACTAATATAAAAAGATACCATTTGTAGAAGCCACTGAACATTTTGGATGCCAGAGAAAGGCTGGGGTGTGGGAACAGGTGGTAAAAATCTGTCCCCCAAATTCATATGTTGAAGTCCTAACCCCGAGTACATCAGAATGTGACTGTAGGGACTTCCCTCATGGAACAGTGGATAAGACTCAATGCAGGGGGCCTGAGTTCAATCCCTGGTCAGGAAACTAGATTCCACATGCCACAACGAAGACCCAGCACAGCCAAATAAATTTTGTCTTAAAGAAATGTGACTGTATTTAGAGATAGGGTCTTTAAAGAGGTAATTAAGTTATAATGAAATCATTAGTGGGCCTTAGTCCATTATGATGAATTGAGTAGAGTCCTAGACACTGTGGAAAATTCTGAGAAGGAAATGAGGAGAAAGAAACAAGTTTCACAAATTTAAAACATCTGCTGGATCAGCCCCTACCTTTGAGTTCTGAGAACTCTTTATGAGAGATATAGAGTCAACATACATATATGGGCTTCTCATTAGATGAAGGGGTCCTAGATTATTAAATAAAATCTACAAGTTGTTTGAAATTATTTATCTTTCAATGTACCACAGTTTCACTATCCACTCCAAAAGAGAAAGTCAAAGAAACCTCACAAAATTCCAGCGTCTAGGTTTCACCATCAATTAACGTTTTTTTTTTGTTTTTGTTTTGTTTTTTTCTATTTTTTGGCTACACACAGCATGCGGGATCTTAGTTCCCCAACCAGGGATCAGAGCTGTGCCTCTTGCAGTGGAAGTGTGGTATTCAAACCACGGGACAACCTTAAAATTAGGTACAAAAGCCCTGTCTTCCCTGGGTCACTGGTTTTTAGAAGTTTCTCAATGTCAAAGTCTTACTTGTAACAAGTAGCAGTCCAACCTCATGCTGTGTAGTCATTTACTGGGGTGGAATCGTGGGAGGAGGGCTGGGAATGGACCCCGACAGCAAGTGGTCAAGTTCCAGAAGGGCAACTAGGACACGTAACGGTGAAGCAAGTGGGGGGGTTGGTGGGTAGACCGGGAGTTGGACCAAAAGAACCAGGGCTAAGAATCTGAGGAACAATGGGCAGAATCTCAGAGCACAAAATCTGGATCCTAAGACTGGGCCAATATCTAGGCAAGGGACTTGGGTGACAGGCTGGGGTGAGTCTGTTTGAGGATCCTACACAGAAGTTGATGTGCTGCAGACTCCCTTCCCTTCTGCATATGGCCCTGAACAGGGTAAAGTGCCA